GTGAAAGATACTTATAAATAGTGGTAATGTTACTTTTTAGACTATGTGATATTACTTTTAGACTTCTGTAATGTTACTTAAAAATGGTGGTGAAATGTAAAAATAGTCTAAAAAGAAACATCACCACCATTTATAAATAACATCACAGAAGTCTAAAAGTAATATCACATAGTTTAAAAAGTAACATCATCACGTTTTGAGGGTGAAAGATACTTATAAATGGTGGTGATGTTACTTTTTAGACTATGTGATATTACTTTTAGACTTGTGTAACATTACTTAAAAATGGTGGTGAAATGTTACTTATAAATAGTGGTTCAACTGCTAAACACAGTGTTAGTGTCTATTAAGTGGAGTAAAACGTGGCCAAACCAAGGCCACTTACTGCTCACTGTAGGAAACAGTATGGGAATTGCACAGCAAGTGATTTACGCCCCAAAAAAGATAGGCCAAGAAAGAAAGGTCCTAAAAGTGGGTGTGTATTGTGTAGTCCGATTTTGGTTCAAGTTCGGCGATTACGTGGGACTTGTCTTATAACGAGTTTTCTGTTATAATGTGCTATATGTTTTTAGGGCAAATTACACTCACATCCTTGAGGTTGGATCATATTTCACCTAAATTAACATTTTGATTTTAAATTTTACTTACATTTAAATTTGTGGTTTGACATTTCACTAGTTCGTGGAATGGAATGGTTTTTTACATTTGAATTAATGGTTTAACATTTTACTTTTAGGGCTAGTTCGTGGAATGGAATGGTTTTTTTTCTCTATTCTCGTGTTTGGTGCCAATTTTAAAGTTGGAATCATCATTCCCCACTATTCTTAGAGAATGGTCATTCTATCATAATCATTCCACCTTTAAACAAAAGGAATGACCATTCCATTCCATTCTCATTCCATTCCCACTTCCATTCTCATTTCATTTCAATTCATTCCACCACACCAAACTAACCCTTACATTCCAAATGTCAATTTTTGGTGGGGTCATAGTATTTTTGAGATGTTAAATGACTATGTTACCCTTTGACCTCCTATTGACTATTTTTGTGACCAAACTATCCCAAACATACACGTTTCCTATTCCTTTATCTTCAGACCATCATCATCCTCAATTCACCCCTCTAGAGATCCACTAATCCCACAGGTTCCTCCTCAACTCCACCCATCAATCCTGCTCATCCGTCACCCAAATCCCACCTCACCAACACTGGTCTTATTAAAAGACTCTTCTTCTCTCATTGTGTGTGTGTAACAGTGTGTATATATATATATATATATATATACGAATTGTGCAGATCTGAGATGGAGGATTCAATAGTAGAGGTGAAGAAAAACAGAGCTCAAGGTGACCGGACGCAACAGTAGTGATAAATCTTTAAACAGTATATAACCCAAAGGAATTTAAAAACCTATTATTAGTTAATAGAAGATTAATAATTTTAATTTTTAATTTTTTATTTTTTAAAAAACCAACACTCATTCACTTCTAAGCTCCAAATTACTGATTTTATTCGTAATAAATCCTAAGGGGTTGATTCAAGTAGATAAGTGACTTGGTCTTGGTGTTTCATGACTTATCAGTTTAAAGTTCGACTCCTTTTGAGTCTAAACAAATTAGAGTTGTGAATATCAATTAGAAAAAAAATGGGCAAAAAATTAATTTTTGTATATATAATAATATTCTATATTATTATTATTATTATTATTATTGTTGCATATCTAGGTAGGCCTGATGTTAGCATTGAGTACCACGCAGACTTTTCTTTTGGAGCTCATTAAATCTTGGAAATTTCTTTTCAATACTAATCAAAAGAGACCTGAGTATTTGATGTGGACTTCGCATAATGGTTTTTCTATTTATTTATTTTTATTTATAATTATGTGGTAGAGGATTCACAAAGACTTATCTTCTTAGTTCAAGAAAGAAATATCTTTTAAGTAGTTGTGCAAAAATAAAGAAAATATGAAATTTAATAATTTCTTTAACATACTAGTACCAGGTATGTCAAGGGATGTCTCAATCTCTCAACTAATTAATGGACCAAAATGATACTTGGTTCGAATTTGGTCCAAGTGGACGCTCGCATGAGCAATGTAGTCATTAATATTCACTGACACTAAATGCTAAAGGCATCATTTTCTATTTAAAAGATGGGTGCAACAAGACTGTTTCGTATGAGAATATATATATATATATATATAAAGGTGAGAAACAAGATCCAATGGTACACTTCGAATACTTTTTCAAAGAGTAAGGTCCTTCTGAAAGTTCAAAGCATTTCTTTGGTCTCAATATTCAACATGCACTTACATGATACACCTAGGTATTAATAAGAAGAGAAATGAAAATTTTCAAAACAGTTACTAAGTCTCAATATAAAAATCTAAGTTTTAGTCTTCTCTTTCTATATGCACACAAAGAGTGAGAGGAAAGAAAAAGAGGGACATAAATTTGGATTCGTCTAGAAACGGATTTGGGTTGGGAACATGTTTTAGAGAGAGAGTGGAGAAAGAAAGTAACGAGGAGAACATGGAGGGATTGTTTAATGTAGAGAGAGAGAAAGTAACAAGGAGAGAGAGGGGAATGATATAGGGAGTACTATTTCATGTTGGTGAAGAACATTGAAAAAAGAAAGAGTTAATTATGGGTATTATTCTCTTTTGGTGAGAAACACGGAAGAAATAAAAAATTAATTGTGTCCAAAAGTTAATTTAGAAATATTTTATAGATTGTTCCCAAACGCCGAAAAAGAAAAAAATAAAAAAATATTTTACATGAAAATATTTTATTTACAAGGAAATTTTTTTAGGTTTGTTTGGGCAGTAATTAACAATGTACGAAGGTTATTCTCCCTAAGGTCATATCATGATTTAAAGAAAGAACAAAAAAAATTTTAATATTTCCTATTGGAAAGTGTCATATTAGTGAAATTGTTATTATTTCTTCTGCATAGTTGCTTAATCTTGAAGAAGACTAGCCTTTGTAAGGTGGAAAGGTTATTCCATTGTGACATCATAATTTGAAGATCACAGGTTCAATACAAAAAAATAAAATAAATAAAATAATTAAATAAGATGCAGAAATTGTTAGCTCACCTGATCTCTTTGAGGGAAATTACTTAAAACTTTTTAAAGATATTTTGGTAGGACTGATATTATTGAGTAACACACAGACTTTCTTTTGGAGACTAACAAAGAAATATTGTAGAAGTAGCAAAATAAAGAAAACAGGTGGGCTTATTAAATCTTGGAAATTTCTTTTCAATACTAATCAAGGATACCAATGAGTATTGATGTGGACTTCACATAAAGATTTTTATATTTATTTATTTTTATTTATTATTATGTGGTAGATGGTTCACAATGACTTTTCTGAGGTCAAGAAAAAAAAAAAAAAAAAAAAAAAAAAAAAAAAAAAAAAAAAAATTCCTAAATGGTGTGGCAGAGAATTAACAAAGAATTTCTTATTATAGTGTGTTGTATATGTACAGTTAAATCGTGTTTTTATAAATTATTTTAAATTTAAAATAATTTATTAAAATTAAATTTAACAAGATGTTGATGTACACCAGAAAGAATCCTAAATGACACAGTCATTTGTACTAATGCAATTATTTCAAAGCCACCACTTTCTTCGAAAACTCAAAATGATCATCATTGGTAATTCGATGAAATCATGCATTTTTTAAGTTCAATGCATATGTATGTAATCAACAATATACGAAGATTATTCTCCCTAAGGTCATAACATGATTTATTAAAAAAAAAAAAAAAAAAGAAAAAAAAATTAAACAACATGTTATATACTTTATGTGCAAATACTCTTTTGTTTCAAAAAATATTTATATTTTTCAAATTTAACAAATAAGGACATTTTGTCAATTTGAAGACATTGAAATACACAAAATGCACTTAAGACAAAATAAAAATAAAAAACATTAATTTCATAAAACACTGATTATTAAAAGTATTTTATTTAAAAAAAAAAAAAAAAAACATAAAATTAAGTGGCAATTTACAAATATTTTCAAATGTGTTGGGTCATATTCTTATTCAATTGAACTTAAGTTTCCGAATCCATTGCCAACCATAAACATCAAACCAATGGTTAAAGTGGGCGGGATTGGCCGGAAATATTAACCATACATCTACATGGGCTTGGATTTCTGGCCTCTAATAGATGTAAACATTAATAAAGAGCATATATTTACCAACAGGTCCAATACGATTCCAGCAAAAATAAATAAATAAATAAAATAAATTGCATATCAACTAGAGGAGGAAGAAATAACTGAACAAGAAGGACTGTAGATCTCCAAATGCCAAATTTACTAACTACTAGACCAAGGAAGCTTCGCCTGTAAAGGCAATTCTTATAGGCCAGCCCAACAGAAGCTTATTATTATCACAACAAAAATGAAATGCATGATTCAACCAATTAATATGAAAGGGTATAGTTGTTAATTCATTAATATATATATATATATATATATATATATATATATATATATATATATATATTTCAATATAATTACTATCTTTTTTTTTTCTTTTTTCATTTTTTTTTTTTTTTTTTTTTTCATTCATTAGTTAACCAAACGTGATAAGGAGTTATCGCTATTCTCACCTAATCACATTTTTCTTCTTTTCTTTTCTCTCCTACTAGTTTTCCTTTCTTTTCTTTTCCACTAAAACAAACATAGATAAGGCAAAATGTATGTATTGATGGGAGTACAATAACAGTGTGAGTAATTCTTTTAGATTAGGAAAGCCTAATGTAATATAAAAACTACAAATAAATCAAGAATTTAAGGCGTTGTATTGTCAATTTAAAGTTGTTGCATAATTGATGTCACCTTAGTAATCAGATGTAATGTTTGTTTGTGAGATAAATATATATATATATATATATATATATATATATATATATATATATATTAAAGTTATAAAGTTATTCATTTTTCTCAAAAGTTGGTGGGCCCCACCAACATATTAACACACAAAAGGCTATAAGGCCATTTCATGAGTCAACTGTTGCCTTTCTCTCTCTCTGCTGCATCCTTTCCCCTCTCGGCATCTCACTTTGTTTTTTTTCTTTTTGCAATCTCAAAAGCTTGATCTAGCTTTAATCTTTTGGATTTTGGTAGAACATTGTGAAGCAAAGTTGTTGAGCTCGTCGAGGCCGTCAATTTGATAGGAGCCAATCATAATTTGGTGCACTCTAAGGAGTTCAAAATTCTAGGGTTCTTGGGCTCAAATTGGGGATATTCATCAATTTGAGGTAGGGGTGTTCTAATCTACAATTTCTTGGCCTTTGGTGAATTTTTCCCCTTAAATTTGATTATAAACATGCTAAATTTTAATTACTTAGCTTGTTATTGTTGTAGTTCTTTGTAATTATAATGATAATTGTGCTCCTTGTGTTATTTGAGTTCATATAAATGAGCATGCTTAGTGTTTAATGTGTTGTATGTTTCCATGATTATTTATTTATTTATTGTCTTGAGGAAAAATGAATGCTATAGTTATAAATGAATAAAGGAAAGGAATGTTTAGAAATTTTAATTAAATTGTGATGATAATGTAAATGGAAAAGTGTGAAAATATATAATTAAATTAATGATTTGAAGCATGAAGTATTCATGCATCCATTGGGAAAGAGAAAGAGGGAAAAATAATTGTTAGAACAAATAAAAAAATTGTTTTGGGGAAAATATTTTCTAAAAGTGTTGTGAAAACCGGACGCCTAGGAGGCGCCTAGTGGTCCGTGATATTGGTGTAGTCTAGAAGGAAATATAGTTGAGTTAACTAGGCCGGATGCGACGCCTTGGAGGTGCCTTGTGGTCGTGGATAGTTAACCAACCTTCCTTTCGTGACGTCATGGAGGTGCCTTGGGTCGGACTACACTAACGGTTTGGTTGTTGAAACGGAATTGTTTCGGAAATGGGGAGTGACATTTGCATAACATTGCACTTCATGACATCGTGGTAAATTTGTGATTGGTTGATATTTGTTATATACTTGTTATTGTGGTTGAGAATGGGTGTTTTCCGATGGCATGATCCCGTTCACTTTTTATCTATTCGTTGTATGGATTCACGGGGACATAAGAAGTGTGTCTTAGACACTTCCTACTGAGCTTATGCTCACCCCCTTATTTTTAACATTTTTTCAGGATATGGAAAAGAGGTGACGGACGACGGTCCACCACAGGTTTAGATGAGCTTGAAGACCCATTCTATTTTGTTATCTTTTGTATTAGACTCTAATATTTTGTAAATGTAATATTAACTACCTTGTGACACTTTAGTTTAATTAGTATAATGTTGTAAGCTATGGACTTTTAATTCTATCTACATTTTATGGACTGTAATTTGATGTAACTTAAGTGGGTTCCATGTTTGGATGAGATGGAGGAACGGGACTTTTGTATGTATGTAACTATTTTGGGAATGTAGTGTAATATTTGAATTGTGCGTTGGGACAGGATAAGTTAGATTTAAGGCCCAGTGAGGCCATTGCATTTATTTTTGTTTTTCTACAGGTTGTTGAGAGACGTTTTCTGCGGAAGTCATGCAGAAATATTTTATAGATTTTATTATTATTTTAGTATCTTTTCGAGTCGTTACAAATTTGGTATTAGAGCGATGGTTCGAATACCAATAGGACGACGGGTAGAGGCCTACCTAGGATTGCATGGGGAGTTGAGTTATTTGCTTACTTGTTTAATTGCTTACGTGATTGCATGCTTATATGTTTATGTGTTAAGGTATTTAATTATTTGAAAGGCATGCTTAATTGTTTAAATGCTTATATCATTATGTGTTAAGTGGTTAATGTTGTTGTATATTATTATGATTATGTTTATCCTTAGTTGGGTATTTTGGAAGTATGAAAGGTGTTTATGTGTTTCCATTTTTGTCAAATCATTCGTGTGAGGACTTTGTTCTCGTGCGTATTTTAGTGTCATCGTAATTGATCCGTTTCCTTTTCTTATAGCTTCATGGCAACACAAAGGGATCCCGGGGAAAGTTCTAGCTCCAATCCCGTGGAAAGGGATCAGGAGCAAGTTGAGGAAGATATCTTATTGCGTGATTTGGTCCCACCAAGAGAGGGACAAGCGAGGGGGACCGTTGACCCACCTTTTCAGATAAATAGGGAGCAGTTGAGGTTAGCCGTTCAGGAGGCTATTTTTGATGCATATCGACCGACAGGTGCGTCATCGTCACAGTTTGTGCCACCACCGGCACCACCACCACCACTTCCAAAGAAAAATGAGTTAGATGATACTCTTTACCACATTGCAAAGTTTGTGAAATTGATGCCAACTCTGTTTGAGGGTGGTCCAGATCCGCTTGTTGCGGATAGTTTCATGGATAGGGTGGAGAAGCATATTAATGCCATGAATTTGGCAACGGACAAGTTAAAGATTACATTGGCTACTTACAATTTTGTGGGCGATGCTGAGATTTGGTGGAAGACCGTTTCTCACACCCATAATCTGGATACTATGACATATGCTACATTCAAGAAGTTGTATTATGAGAAGTACTTTCCAGCGCCTAAGCGGAGGGAACTAAAGAAGGAGTTTGATGGGTTAAAGCAAGGAAGTATGACAGTTACAGAGTATGAAAACAAGTTTACATCACTTTTGAGGTTTGCACCGGGAATTGCTAATGATGAAGAAGGAAAGATAGAGAAATTTGTTGATGGCATTGATCTTACCATTAGGCCAATTGTAGCTGCTTCAGAACCGACAGAGTATGCAAAAGCAGTGCGAAAGGCTTTAGTAGTTGAGGCTGAGAGTAAGGACAACAAGGCTATCAGGGAGTCCTACAAGCACAACAGGGGTATGAGTACTTTCTCCGAAGGTCAATCAAGTAAGAAGCAAAAGCATGAGCAGTCAGGGTTCAGAGGACAGCAGCCAGTCAGATCTGCACCCACAGCTTCAGTGTCCATGGGGTCTTCTAGACCGAATGTTACTTGTTTCAGATGCGGGCAGTTGGGACATTATAAGTCCCAATGCACTCAGACACAGGTAGCTCAGATGATTTGTTTCAAGTGTGGGCAGCCAGGGCATCACAAGTCCCAGTGTACTCAGATTTAAATGGCGTCTGGTGGATGTTTCGGGTGTGGCCAGCAGGGCCATAGGGTGAAAAATTGTCCACAGCGGGGCAGTGGTTTGGGCAGAGTTGGAGGTTCACAGTAGAGGCTGATGCAGTCTGCCACAGTTCAGTCAGGGTTTCAACCACCACCACCACCTCAGCCGTCTCAGCCAACTATGTCAGCCCAGAGTTCTCGACCTGGTAGGGGAGCTTCTTCGAGTGCACCTACTCAGCAGTCTGGTTATCAGGCAGGCAGCTCTCAGGGCCAGAAGACCCAGGGTCGCGTGTTTGCACTCACTCCAGCCGAGTCACCATCCAGTCCTTCAGTTGTCAGGGGTATGTTTCTTGTGTCCCATTCTTGGGCTCGTGTATTGTTTGATTCTGGTGCTTCTTATTCATTCATTACTTCATCATTTGCACGGGCATTGGGTTTAGAGGTCAGTCAGTTAGATAGACCGCTTTGTGTTGACACGCCTATCGGGGGTTCAGTTGCTCTTAGTAGAGTTTGTAGGAGTTGTTCCATCATAATTGCCGGACGTGTTCTTGAGTTCGATCTCATCCTTCTCGAGATGACGGGATTTGACGTCATTCTTGGGATGGACTGGTTGTCATCCTTCAGAGTTGTCATTGATTGTTTCAGGGGCAGAGTTTCAATGTGTACCCCGGATGGGGATTGTTTCTGTTTTGTGGGAGATCGGTGTGATCCTCTCACTCATTCATTTTATGGTGTTAGGGGTCGAGATCGGTAGACATTCTTCTTGGCTAGTCTTTTCGCCGATGATGACGTTGAGTTTTATGGGGTTGATTATCCAGCAGTTGTGCGTGATTTTCTGGATGTGTTTCCGGAGGACTTGACTGAGTTGCCTCCACACTGAGAGATGAAATTTGCTATTGATTTGATGCCTGGTACCGCGCCAATCTCTATAGCACCGTATCGTATGGCACCGATTGAATTAGAACAATTGAAGAAACAACTTGATGATTTGAGGATGAAAGGCTTTATCCGACCGAGTGTGTCACCATGGGGTGCATTGGTCTTGTTCGCTAAGAAGAAAAATGGTTCTTTGAGGTTGTGCATTGATTACCAAAAGTTGAATCATGCCACCATCAAGAACAAGTATCCTTTACCAAGGATAGATGATTTATTTGATCAGTTGAGGGGAGCTAGTTGTTTTTCGAAGATTAACTTGAGGTCAGGCTATTATCAGTTACGGGTTATAGAGGAGGATATTCCAAAGACCGCATTCCGTACGCGGTATGGACATTACGAGTTTCTTGTTATGCCTTTTGGTTTAACCAATGCGCCGGCGGCATTCATGGATTTAATGAACCGTGTCTTCCATGATTACTTGGATCAGTTTGTGGTAGTTTTTGTGGATTACATTCTTGTGTATTCACGGACTCGGGAAGAGCACGAGGTCTATTTGGGTATAGTGTTGCAGATTATACGGGAGCACCGTTTGTACGCCAAGTATGAAGAGTGTGAGTTTTGGCTACAAGAGGTGAAATTTTTGGGACATGTTGTCTCGGAAGATGGGGTTTCAGTTGATCCTTCAAAAATAGAAGCAATTTTGAGTTGGGAGCAACCCAAGAATGTCTTTGAGATCCGGAGTTTCCTTGGCCTAGCGGGTTATTATCGGAGATTTGTGAAGGATTTTTCCCGTTTGGCAGCTCCTATGACCAGATTGACCAGGAAAGGGATCAAGTTTGCATGGAATGAGGCCTGTGAGTCATCCTTTCAAGAGTTGAAAACAAGGTTGACTATGGCTCCAGTGTTGGTGATACCTGAGCGTGGCTTGGGTTATGTGATCTATTGTGACGCCTCACGTGATGGTTTGGGTTGTGTACTGATGCAAGATGATAGAGTAGTGGCTTATGGGTCTCGACAGTTGAAGACTCACGAGCTTAACTACCCTACTCATGACTTAGAGTTAGTGGCAGTTGTATTTGCTTTGAAGTGTTGAAGACACTATTTGTATGGTGAGAGATTTGAGGTGTTCTCGGACCACAAGAGTCTCAAGTACCTTTTTTCCTAAAAGGACTTGAATAACAGACAGAGGCGATGGGTTGAATTCTTAGAAGACTATAACTTTGATTTGCAGTATCATCCTGGTAAGGCAAATGTGGTAGCTGATGCTTTAAGCCTAAAATCTCGTGGGACTTTGGCTAGTTTAGCCATTCGGAAATAGAAGACACTGGAAAATTTGGCTGAAATGGGATTGTATTATTTTGATGATGATGATGATGGCAGTGAGTCAGCATTCTTGTTTAGTCTCGTGGCTCAACCCACTCTTGTTAGATGGGTGATTGAGTCACAGAGACAGGATTCAGATTTAGATGCCATTTATACTTTGATCTCCAGTGGAGAGATCGTGAAGGATTGGACCTTACATGCAGATGGAGGTCTACGGTTTAGGGGTTTGTTGGTTGTTCCTACAGTTTGTCGTGAGGACGTCTTACGGGAGTTTCATACTTCCCGCTTTGCAGTTCATCCGGGTGGTACCAAAATGTATCACAATTTGAGACGTCAGTATTGGTGGAATGGAATGAAGAATGATGTTGCACAGTTTGTAGCTAAGTGCCTTACTTGTCAGCAGGTGAAGGTCGAGCACCAGAGACCAGCTGGTTTATTGCAGCCGTTGCCGGTAGCGCAGTGGAAATGGGAAGAGATTGCAATGGATTTTGTGACAGGTCTTCCTAGGTCACGGAGGGGAAATGAAGCCGTATGGGTTATTATCGATAGATTGACCAAGATGGCTCACTTCTTGCCTATTAAGGCAACAGATGACTCAGAGACACTCGGTGTAGTTTATGTGAAAGAGATTGTGAGATTGCACGGAGTTCCAGCGGCTATTGTGTTGGATAGGGATGCTAAGTTCACCTCGAAGTTCTGAGAAGGACTTCAAGCAGCATTTGGCTCAGCGTTGCACCTTAGTACTGCATTTCATCCACAGACGGACGGCCAGTCGGAGCGTACCATCCAGATCTTGGAGGATATGCTTCGAGCCTATGTACTTGACTTGGGTGGTAGTTGGGAGGATCACCTTCCACTTATTGAGTTTGCCTACAACAATAGTTATCAGGCGAGTATTCAGATGGCTCTATTTGAGGCGTTGTATGGTAGACCTTGTAGGTCTCCTGTCTGTTGGACTGAGGTGGGCGAGACAACCGCCTTAGGACCCGACATTGTACTCGAGACTACCGAGAAGATTAAGCTGATCAGACAGAGATTGTTTACAGCTCAGAGCCGACAGAAGAGTTATGCAGATAGGCGGAGACGATCGCTATCCTTTGAGGTGGGAGACCATGTTTTTCTTCGGGTTTCTCCAAGGAAGGGGTTGATGAGGTTCGGGAAGAGTGGCAAGTTGTCGCCACGATTTATTGGACCTTTTGAGATCTTGGACCGCGTAAGAGAGGTTGCCTACAGACTAGCATTGCCACCACAGATGGACAGGGTTCATAATGTCTTTCATGTGTCGATGCTACGGAAGTACGATCCAGATCCGTCTCATATTTTGAGTTGGGTTGATGTGGACATTGATGAGGATGTTTCCTACGAAGAGGGACTAGTTCAGATTCTTGACACACAACAGAAGGTGTTGAGGAAAATACGATATCGTTGGTAAAGGTTCTTTGGAAGCATCATGGAGTTGAGGAGGCTACTTGGGAGCTCGAACAGGAGATTCGCTCCAAGTATCCAGAGTTGTTTTCTCCCTTAGGTATGGCCTAATTTCGGGGACGAAATCTTTTAAAGTTGGAGAGAATGTAATGTTTGTTTGTGAGATAAATATATATATATATATATATATATATATATATATATATATATATTAAAGTTATAAAGTTATTCCTTTTTCTCAAAAGTTGGTGGGCCCCACCAACATATTAACACACAAAAGGCCATAAGGCCATTTCATGAGTCAACTGTTTCCTTTCTCTCTCTCTGCTGCATCCTTTCCCTTCTCGGCATCTCACTTTGTTTTTTTTTCTTTTTGCAATCTCAAAAGCTTGATCTAGCTTTAATCTTTTGGATTTTGGTAGAACATTGTGAAGCAAAGTTGTTGAGCTCGTCGAGGCCATCAATTTGATAGGAGCCAATCATCATTTGGTACACTCTAGGGAGTTCAAAATTCTAGAATTCTTGGGCTCAAATTGGGGGTTTTCATCAATTTGAGGTAGGGGTGTTCTAATCTACAATTTCTTGGCCTTTGGTGAATTTTTCCCCTTAAATTTGATTCTAAGCATGCTAAATTTTAATTACTTAGCTTGTTATTGTTGTAGTTCTTTGTAATTATAATAATAATTGTGCTCCTTGTGTTATTTGAGTTCATATAAATGAGCATGCTTAGTGTTTAATGTGTTGTATGTTTCCATGATTATTTATTTATTTATTGTCTTGAAGAAAAATGGATACTATAGTTATAAATAAATAAAGGAAAGGAATGTTTAGAAATTTTCATTAAATTGTGATGATAATGTAAATGGAAAAGTGTGAAAATATATAATTAAATTAATGATTTGAAGCATGAAGTATTCATGTATCCATTGGGAAAGAGAAAGGGGGGAAAATAATTGTTAGAACAAATAAAAAAATTGTTTTGAGGAAAATATTTTCTAAAAGTATTGTGAAAACTGGACGCCTAGGAGGCGCCTAGTGGTCCGTGATGTTGGTGTAGTCTAGAAGGGAATGTAGTTGAGTTAACTAGACCGGGTGCGACGCCTTGGAGGTGCCTTGTGGTCGTGGATAGTTAACCAACCTTCCTTTCGTGACGCCATGGAGGTGCCTTGGGTCGGACTACACTAACGGTTTGGTTGTTGAAACGGAATTGTTTCGGAAATGGGGAGTGACATTTGCATAACATTGCACTTCATGACATCGTGGTAAATTTGTGATTGGTTGATATTTGTTATATACTTGTTATTGTGGTTGAGAATGGGTGTTTTTCGATGGCATGATCCCGTTCACTTTTTATCTATTCATTGTATGGATTCACAGGGACATAAGAAGTGTGTCTTAGACACTTCCTACTGAGCTTATGCTCACCCCCTTATTTTTAACATTTTTTCAGGATATGGAAAAGAGGTGGCGGACGACGGTCCACCACAAGTTTAGATGAGCTTGAAGACCCATTCTATTTTGTTATCTTTTGTATTAGACTCTAATATTTTGTAAATGTAATATTAACTACCTTGTGACACTTTAGTTTAATTAGTATAATGTTGTAAGCTATGGACTTTTAATTCTATCTACATTTTATGGACTGTAATTTGATGTAACTTAAGTGGGTTCCATGTTTGGATGAGATGGAGGAACGGGACTTTTGTATGTATGTAACTATTTTGGGAATGTAGTATAATATTTGAATTGTGCGTTGGGACATGATAAGTTAGATTTAAGGCCCAGTGAGGCCATTGCATTTATTTTTGTATTTCTACAGGTTGTTGAGGGACGTTTTCTGCGGAAGTCATGCCGAATTTTTTTATAGATTTTATTATTATTTTAGTATCTTTTTGAGTCGTTACATCAGAAACGTTTTACGTTTCAGTTTTCATTCAAAACGAAAACAACATTTTTATTATGGAGTGTGATTAATAATGATTGAAAACATGTTTGGTAACAAAAAGATTATTGTAAGATTTTTGGACGCAAAAATATAAAAACATATTTAATAAAAAAATGTTACAAGTTTGGAGCATTATTTATGCAACATTTGGTTACAAAATAAATCATTATTTACCGATACATATTACAACCCAAAACAATGCTAAAGTATCTTACCCCCAAAAAAAAAAAAAAAAAAAAAACCACACACACACACACAACACAAAACAATAAATAGGCCGAACTCACAAAACATACACACCATAAAAAAATTATAATAAAAAAATAAACTAAAAAATATAAAAATATATTGCAAGCAGGGACGGAGTCATGCTGTACGGTAGGGGGAGGGGGCAAAAATGAATTTTGGGAGGTAACAGTATATTTTTTTCGTAATTTCAAGAGAGCAAATGTAATATTTTATGGTTATATTACTGAAAAAAACAAATTATAAGGATAGATTACTATAAAAAAAATAAAAAAAAATTTAGTGCGGCCCTAATTGCAAGTTTGGAACAATATTTATGCAACATTTTGGTATAAAATAAAGGGCAAATTTCACGAAACCCCCAATACTATCTTTTTTTTTTTTTTTTATTTTATCAAATACCCCCAACTTTTTATTTTATCAAATACCCCCAACTTACTTTATAAAACCCCCAACACTATGAAAATTAATCACATTACACCATATATGTGATAAAAGGATGAAACTACCCTTCTGATATACCAAATAAATTAAAAAAGCCAAGATATACCAATTACTAAAATATCATTGGTGACATTTAAGTCACCAAAGCACAAAACGACAACGTTTTGTGTGTTGATGCGAACAGAGCAATATATGGAGAGATAGAACAATTTTAGAGAGAGAAAGTGAAAGTTATGTGATGACTTCGTCGGCGAGGGAGGTAAAGGAGAGGAGTCGAGATTGATGGAGAATTGGTAGAGGCGGCAGCGTATGTGGGTTTTGGTGGTGTTGACGATGCACAGAAAGCAGCGGCAGAGGGTGGTGGTGAGAGCGACGTCAGAGGGCTGCGTTGGCGGTGAGGACGTCGTGATGTATGTGGTGTGATGATGAAGTTGAGAACACCGATAGAGAGGCGGCAGAGAGCGACGTCAAAGGATTTCTAACGGGGGCAATCAGAGATGACGGGACAGCTCACGGCAGAGAGCGCGGAATAGCGGTGAGCTCAGCTGTTGGTGGTGGTTGGTTCGGCCGTGGATAACTCGGCCTTGAATGGCTCCGGCTAATTATGATTTGACCGACGGTGGCGATGGCAGGGAGCTGAGCACGGTGATGGCTATCGTGACTGGGTCAAATGAAGGTCAATTTCGAAGATGGGTTTCAGTTCCAAAGCTTGGAGTACCACTCCACTGGGTTTAGCATTGTTGATTTTGGTGGTGGGTGCAACGCAATCAGCGACGAGGACGGCTTGCGGCCACCCAGTATGTGGAGTTGCCAGTAGTTGGAGATAGAGATGACTGCTATCAAGGAGTCGCAGATCCGCCGCTGCCTTCCGGCGCAGATTTACGTCTAGAGAGAAACCTCCGATCAACTACAAGCAACCAAGCGACACTAAACAAACTGACAATGATTGATCCGACGTCGAGTATGTTGAAAGCAGCGTCGTTTGGTGTAGGAGGTACATTTGCAGGTTCTTCAGACAAAGGCCCGTTGATTGACGAATGACCTCCCGTAGCCGGAGACAACTCAAGAGGTGGTCGTTTTGTACTTTGGTGACTTAAATGTCACCAATAGTATTTTAGTAATTGGCAAAATACCTATTTTGGCTTTTTTTAATTGATTTGGTATATCAGAAGGGTAGTTTTGTCTTTTTATCACAGATATGGTGCAATGTAATTAATTTTCATAGTGTTGGGGGTTTTTCAAAGTAGGTTGAGGGTATTTGATAAAAAAAAAGTGATAGTATCGGGGATTTCGTGAAATTTGCCTTAAAATAAATTATTATTTACTGATACATATTGCGACCCAAAACAATGCTAAAGTATCTGACCCAAAACAAAAAAAAAAAAAAAAACACTCACAAAACAACAAATAGGCCGAACTCACAAAACATACACATCATAAAAAAATAATAATAATAACAAATAAAATAACAGACATGGTAGAGGATTCAACGCACTAAAAAAATATTACCATGTTGTCTGGTGGTTGAGCCTTGAACCCTCATCTTTTTGCAAGAGAAGTGTTATCAACACGAGTTGATGTGTGTGAAAGAGAGACCCCTTCCCCTCCCCTCCCCTCTAATCACCAACTCATATATATATATATATATATATATATATATATATATATATATATATATATCATTTTTGCATAGATATGGTAAAATAATGGCACAGTGGACATGGAAAATAATTTTCCTTTTCAGACCAAAATGCTTCCAAACTCTAAAACTCATCTCCCTATATGTGTGTGCAAGAAGCCTTGCACTCTCCATCAATGACTAATTGAAGAAGCCCAATGTGCCTAATAGCTGTTCAAGGTCCCATTGGCATAAAGAATTGTTATCGTGAAGACCTTTTATAAGGTTAGTTTTGATATTGTTGGATTTTTATTATATTTTTTGTCTCCATTATTATTTTTACTATTCATTCCATTGAACCAAACAAAAAGTGAAAGAGACACCTTTCTTTCCCTTCCTCCTATCAATTCCATCTATTTTTTCATTTCTCCAACCAAACGAAACATAAATTTCCAAGCCATCGTCTTCTCTGAAAACAATGGATGCAACAAGACTTTTCCTTCCCTTCCTCCTATCCCTTTATCTTAGATGAGTCAGATAATTACTAACAAATTCTCAAATAATTCTAATGTTAAGAAATTTTGAAGCCTTTCCTTCTAACTTATATTCACAAGGGTTTTTTTTTTTTTTTTTTTTTTTTTAACAAAATCTTTGAGTAGCTAAGTAAGAAGAATAAAAATCAAATTGATCATCTTTAGTAATTCGATCTCGTGATCATGCAATTCTTTGAGTTCAATGCATATGTAATCAACAATATATGAAGATTATTCTCCATAAGGTCATATCTTGATTTATTTATTTTTAATTAAACAAGGTGCTCATTTTGTACCAACTGGCCTAAGTCGAGGGATAATATTAATTTTATCGAGGTAAAGTACAAAAATAAAATAAAAAATAAAAAATCCATATTATATAATGAATATACAAATACTCCTTTGGTATTAAAATAAATCCTTACATTTTTCAAATCGAGCAAATAAGAACATTTTGTCAACTTAAAACTTGAATTACCTAATGTCCTTGAGATAATATATATATATATATATATATATATATATAAATAGTAACTTCATAAAAAACTGATTATTAAGGTTATTTTTGGGTTTTAATAAAAAAAATTAGATAAAAATTGACGATCATATATGATGATTTGCACATTCTTTTATGCACATTGTAACACAGGAAACAGGTCCCAAATGTGTTGGCCATTTTCTTATTCAATTTAATTTAAGTTTCGGAAACCATTGCCAATAAGCACCAAACAAAAGGTTAAAGTGGGCCGGACTTGCCCGAAATAGTAAAACCATATATCTACCTAGACTTGGAATTCTGGCCTCTAATAGATGTAAACCGTGATTATGATGCGAATGCATAAACATCAAAATATTGCCTTGGCGCCAGTTTGGCAATGGGAAACTTTTTGGTTCTGTTTTCTTTTAGAAACAGCCACAGCGGCTCACTTGGTTTGTAATTTTAAAAATAATTGTTAGAAACTTAAAAAATAAATAATAGTTTTTAAAAAATAATAAAAGACTATTTTCAGAAAATAGGTCTTTTTATAATTGAGTTTTCAGAAAACAGAACCAAACAGGAGTTTTTTTTATACAATTTTCAGTTTTATGAAAACATGAAACTGTTTTCATAATTACAAACTAACCCGTGCCCCTTTTTTGTTGTGGAGTGTGCTTTGTAGTGATTGGAAAGCATGTGTTGGAAACATAAAATTTGTTAAAAATTCTTGAAAGTAAAAACATGAAAACATGTTTGATGAAAAAATGTTACAAATTTGAAAAATATAATGACTAGTTTAAAAAAGTCATTTAAGAGTTTTTCATTTTTTAAGTATTGTTCATCAGTGTTGTTGCTACGGTGCAAAAATATGTAAAAATATTAAATTGGTATTTTGATTTTGGGACACAATATATTTAACATTTTGATACCGTATAAAATAAATGATTATTTACCAAAATGTTGAGGCTAAGAACAATGCTACAGTGGTGCCAGATCCAAAACAAAAAATACGAGACTAAAACGCATACTAAACGGATCTAAAATCACAAAACTTACACACGGTCAAAAAGACACGGGATAGATAGACCTTCTGATTAAACAAAAAAATACATAAATAAAACACAAAAACAAAATAAAACAAAAAAACATGGGAACTAAGTCGCATAAAGCGGGAATAAGAAAGAGAGAGCGAAAACGGTAAAATTAAGTCATAAATAGTAATAATGAGAGCGAAAGCGCATGAAAAGTACGCGGAGCGCGAGAGCGACACCATTAAGGAGGATTGTGTGACTTACATGGGCGAAGACTCCACGTACGAATAAGTTGTAAGTTGTTTATCTCATTATTATATATATATATATATATATATATATATATATATATATATATATATAGAAATCATCTCTTGCTCACTTGTGATTAAAAAAAAGGTAATTACCACAAAAGAAATATAACAATTTAATCGTATCCAAAGGTCATACTTGCTGTATATATATATATATATAGTAAAATAATGGCACTGTTAGATGGAAAATAATTTTCCTTTTCAAACCAAACTGCTTGTGCAAGCGCTCTCTGTGGATGACTAATTGAAGAAGCCGATGACCTAATAGCTGCTCAAGGACTCATTGGCATAAAGAATTGTTCTCATGAAGACCTCTTACAGTATAAGGTTTGTTTTATATTGTTGGATTTATATTAAATTTTCGTCTCCGTTCTATATCTATAGTTAATTTGTTTTAGATTTGTTTTGAATCTCTTTTGAAAATTTTGCTTTATTATCTGTCTTGTTCACATTTTGTGTGTGTGTGTGTGTGAGTGCTTAAATGTATCTCTGTGATATAGTAAAACTGATAACAAGAAAAGAAGAAATAAATATAAAGGAGAGAACAAAAGAAAGAACTTGAAGTATATTCTTTTCCAGAACTCTGCAGCCTTTATATAGGCTAGTACACAACTGAAACAACATAAAAATAGGCACTAATGTGCAAAACTGACTTCCTAAAAACTAGATAACATGGACCATGTTCTGCATAAACAAAATAACAAAACCCCTAAAGACTAGAACAACTTAGACTGAGTCACTAAAGGTGCAGAACACTAAATTATTCAACAAACCCTCCCTTAAACTGAAAACTTTTGGACTTCAGTTTAATTAGACAACACTTTTCTTTCAAACAGAATTCTCCAAAGTGCAAATGCCCAGCAATCTTCTCAGATTGTGAAAGGGAAAAAATCTGAAAGGTTTAGTAAATATATCAACTAGCTGATCTTCACTTCTGCAATGCTTTAAATCAATTTCTCCATCATTGCTAATTTCTCTTAAAAAATGATACTTCACATCAATGTGCTTGCTTCTTCCATGTAGCACAGGGTTTTTGGAGAGTTTGATGGCTGAGCTGCTGTC